GGCAGCAACATAACGTGAAAAAAATAAAGGGGTATGAATACTTTCACAAGGCACCGTATACACTATAGAATCTAGATAGCTACACTGGTTTATTAAAACAGCCCTTAGTACAATCCGTGCCGTTCAGCCTGAGACATTTCCAGAATAAAGTCATTAGCCTACAATGCGAGATTAAACTAATTAAATATCCAGAAAAATGTAGAAATAAAATATTGAGAATAAAAATAATTAAATTTCGAGAATAAATTCATTCATCAGCATCGTTAACTTCATCAGCTATAGCCTATAAAACGCTTGTTTACTATAGTTTAGTTTAAGTTAATTTAATAGTTTAAATATAAACGTGCGATTACTAATGGCTTAAAACCTGATCCACATATGCACAGATTCCTTTTTGCATGAGCAATTTATGATATATTAATGCAGAACAGAACATTTTTATTTGGAAACATGTCTGTATTTGTAAAAATCGCTGCACAATCATTTAATCCCGAATTCCACAGACTCAAATTGAAAGGTATTTAGAATAAAAATAATTAAATTTCGAGAATAAAGTCGTTCATCAGCATCGTCAACTTAATCTTTGCAGACACTGACTCAGAAAACAGTTTAGTAATAAGTAGCCCAAATAAAATATGTTCTAGCTATTTATGCGATCCGCTTGAGCGCGGAATAAGCTATAGCCTATAAAACGCTTGTTTACTATAGTTTAGTTTAAGTTAATTTAATAGTTTAAATATAAACGTGCGATTACTAATGGCTTAAAACCTGATCCACATATGCACAGATTCCTTTTTGCATGAGCAATTTATGATATATTAATGCAGAACAGAACATTTTTATTCGCAAACATGTCTGTATTTGTACAAATCGCTGCACAATCGTTTAATCCTGAATTCCACAGACTCAAATTGAAATGCATTTGTTTGTGGTTAGTAAGATACATGTATAAAATTGATGCAGTACATGGATAATTGTGCGTGCATCTATTAATCATTTTGAGTCTAATATCATCCCATACTGGGTCGCAAGTAGCAAACAATGGAGCGTGCTCTGCTGGACAATTACACCATTCAGAAGCATTTAATCTGCGGCGTTATATGTTCTGTAAAAAAAATTTCATATAGGCGGCATATTCGCTGATACCGATATATCGGCGACAGGCTCATATCGGCTAAACGATATATCGGTCGGGCTCTAACAATAACATCAAAATAGTATATCAAGTAACACTGGCTTACATTGCAAAGCCATTAAAATAATCATTATTAAACTATTTGTACTATTAAATTCAGTATGAAATCTATTACGTTACTGATCTTACTCTGAACGTTTCATCCCTCATTTTGTTTTGCATTCAGATCTGCTTATATCCAATCAAAAAAAAAAGTCCCCGCCCTTTTTTTAATTTTTATAATTCGTATGGATGTACGTCAAAAAAAAAAAAAAAAAAAAAAAG